CCCCAAAACCCCAAAACCCCAAAACCCCTAGATTATGACTAGTTATTGAATGTAATTTGAGCTTAGAAAATAATGCATTTTCAATCATCGACTCAGCCCTTGGAGATGACTCTATCTTTCTCTTCATCTAGCTCTTTCTGGCTAAGACAGCTATCAATGTCTCTTAGTTTTACGAAATCAAATTCTGTATTTGCAATGAAGCAGTCTCTATCGTGAATGTATGGCTAAAAATTTTCAACTTTAGATTGAAGTTATTAGATGTAAAAAGTGAGATAGAGAGGTTTTGAAATTGTTGAGTATAGATGATATTCTGAAATATGGATTACATCGTAGAATTGAGAGGCTTGATTCTCAGTCTGATCATTTTTGATTATAAGATCATCTTCGTTGAACTCGATTTCATTGTTAAGAATTTTCTAAATATTATCCAGGAAAGGTTTATAAAACTTAATTTTTGTCAAATCAAAAAATGTAATTAACAATTTCTTAAAACAGAAGAATGGGAAAGTCTCAAAGAATTCTAAAGTGTTGATCAAAAATCTCTATGAGAAAGGAAGCCTCACAATAGCGATATCTTGTTGAGTTATTTCCTTCTTTGTGTAATAATACTTTTTCATCTCATCTTCAATTGTTCGAGGCTCCTTTTGGTAAATGATATTCCCCTTTTTGAGCTTCTCGTGATACTCTAGACTTAAGATCCGGTCAAATTACTGTGCTGCATATGCTGATAATCGCCTGAGTCATGAGAGCTCTCACTTTCTTCCTTTATTCTCTTTTTCTTATGTTTAGGTGACATGAACGGGTCATCTAACTCGAAGTTCATAGTAGTAATTTCTTTCTAAAATTTATGTAAAATTTACAAATTTATTTTGCTTGTTGGTACTTGCAACCATATGGTCGAATAGCAGCTCGTCTCCTGTCTTGTCCTTGTTTTGCTTGATTATTGGCTCTAGGATATGACTAAGAAACTTTACTAGTGACTTTTATCTATACGTTATGAGGAAAGAAATTACCTGAACTTCGCTTTCTCAAGATTGAATCGGTGATAGCTCATCATCTTCCTCATCTGACATCTCCAAAAGAGCCGGATCGGTTAAATATCCCATAAAGGGAGGGGCAGTAGTGTCTGTCTGCTTTGAAAATTCTCTCACAAGTGCATTCCTTTTGTTATTTTCTCTTTTCTTCATCTTGGGTTTTCTAACTCTATCATAACCTTTAACTCTTTTCTCAAATTTCTCTACACAAGTTTCCATCATAACATAGCAAAAGAACTTATCAGACAGGGATTTCAAGATCTGGTAAGAATGACTGGCCATTGCTTTCAGATTATAAATTTTCAGGTCAGGTTTATCCAGAAACTTCAGGTAACAATCAGAAGCCATATTTTCTCCAAGAAGAGCTTTTAGCTCTTCTTGGCACTCATGCATCTGTAGATCCATGAAGAAGAAGTACACCGCTCTTTCTATTTCCTTTAAGGATATAGAATCAGAGAAGTAACCTACACTTTGGTGCAAGCAGCTGGTAAACTCTGAGATGTAAATCTCAGACTTCTCTGGGTGTGCTTGCTTGATCCTTCTGTGGACAATTTCGTTGATCCTACAACCTGAAATTTGAGTGAGTACTTACCTTTGTTCTGAATAAAATCTTCAAGGAAAGCAGCGATGGTGTGCAATTTCTCATCTTTGAGAAAAGCAAGAGTTGTCTGCGTCTGATCTTGATTCTTCTCTGTGATTGTATGAATAAGCGCCCTTACTTTTATTTAACATTTTTTGCAAGCTGTGGAATGATTTCTTTTGAAGAATTTTAACAGCCAGCCATTTTCCAAATCCGAGTTGATTGAAGTCTTTTGAAATATAAGCTTGACTGACACCGTTAAGGTTAGTAATTTTGCCAACTTGCATTCTTTCTTTGACTAAAAATTAGAGGCGAACTTACCATGCACGAGGACAGGGGTACCAATATTTCTGACAGTCTGGAGCTCACTGATGACTACCTTCTCGGTCATTCTATAATTGATCAGCTTTTCAGTCAGCTTTTTGGTGTCAAGTTTGTTCTTCTCAAATGCTCTGAGAAGGTTATGGGATGTGTTTGAATTTAAGCCCAAATCTATAATTTATTAGAAAATATCATCTTTGGTAGTGCGATTTAGTGAAAATCTGGATTTTTGGAGATTAAGAAACTTAAATATGGAAAACTGGCATACAGTTTTGAAATTTATGATATATTTCTTCAACCTCAGCCACAATTTTGGACAGAAATCATAGTAGAAGTAATGGCAGAGCTACTTCAAAAGTGGCGTAATTTTCTCCATGATCGTCTTCCTTATCAAAGCTGTGTTGCATTAACTAGAGATTGTCAATATAGGTTTACCTTTTTGTAGACTTTTTGAGGAAATGTCATTTTCTTATCACCAGGTCGTGATAAATCTTTATTTCTATGAACAGTTATAGGATAGCTTGCTTGTATCTTTATAAGGTTCAAAAGGGCTTTGAATCTTTCTTTCCCAAGATGCTTCTCATCAGCATAGTAGTTGAGATTAAAATAAGCCTTCTTCTTCGCATCTGGCTCTTGAGTGAATTTATAGACCTCATTTGGGTCGATATTCTTGATAAATTGCATGAATAGCTGAAGCATTTCATCTTTTGAGAAGAAGAGTGACAGCATGATCAAGATTCCTGAAATCCTAGAGGTGAGAGAGAACTATACATCCTGTTATTTTTCTGTCACTGCTTCAGATAACTTTTTTCTTGTTTCTTCTACTAGTTATGAGGAGCTTACTTTTGGTTTTGAACTGAAAGATCATCTTGAAAATGCTCTTTGAATTCATTTTAGCTCCAGCTATACTCTTGAGAATGATGCCAGGTTTAAGCAAGCAAGTATCCAGCCCAGGATGGAAATAACAACTATCCTTGTACAGTACGAAAGTTGTGTATCTATGATGATTAGGAGGAATACTTCTTGAAAATAGCTTCAAATTGTTCTAATGAGGTTTTCACCCATATTTCTCTTCTTATCTCCTGCTTTTCTTTCTTCTTTGCCTTAGTTTTGCTAAAGTTCATAGAATTCGTACATATTTTTCTGAAATTGTTTGAGCATATAAAAATGCATTCAGTTGAGAAATTTACTATTTAATAGGAATATCCTTGTCTTTAATCTCCTTTGGCTTCTTTATTTCTTCGTGGTTACCTTTCAGAGGGCTTGCCACTTGTGATGAGAACTTTTTGGAAGCGATTCTTTGTGACAAGAGCTGCATGCTATAGTCCATATCTTCATCTTCTTCCTAGAGGATTAAAAACAGACTGTACGCTGCTCACTAGATCTTGCTTGAAGTGGTGGTGAGCTCTTTGCTATGAGATTTGTACTAAAATTCTACCTTTGATTTCATGCTGACAGAGTCTAGATTTATTATTATAAACTTACTTCTGATATCTTCGATCTTATTTCAAAGGAAGTTTACTCCTGATTGTCATATTTTGGCGCCTCTCAGAATGATCTCTTGAGCCTTTGATTTCAAAGGAGTAATCCGTTTGTTTACTATAGTGATAGGGCTCTCTGCTTACGATTGAAGGAGACGATCTTTATAAACTCTATTTTGAGGCTGCGAAAAACTTCTGATAGTATTTCGATTTTGATGAGCATGAGTAGAGTTCATTATCACCTTTGCTTCATCATTCTCTGAGGATCCTTCCGATGCTAAACGGGTATGATACAAGAGAGGAGGTTACATTCACTTTCGTCAGGATAGTCTTCCTCCTGTTTGCTGTCTTCAGCAGCCATTCTATACAGTCAAGCTGATACAATACCCTTGTAAGCCTTGATCCATGTCCTGTCTGCTCTCAGCTGGCCTTCTTGAGTCTGAAGGTGTGTTTTCTTCTCAGCTAGGGACTTTCTGGTCTCAATCATCTAGTATCTCAGGGCTTGTGGGATTTGCTAACTTATTTCCAAGATCCATTTTAGCTAAAATACAATATAAATTATCGAGGGAGGGGTTTTGGGGTTTTGGGGTTTTGGGG